AATCGACAGTTTTACCCAGATTGAATTGGATGGAATTAGCAAAAAACTGAGAACTGTAGCCATATTGATTTAATTTATTACAAGATTTATTTTATTTACTCCGAAACGGTGGAAATAATAAAAATACAGAATAATAATACTGATAAAGTAGATCAACTTACAAATTATGTTTCTAACGAAAGTGAGAGAATATTAAGAGCAACCAGTGCTTTATCTGCTCATAAAGATTTATTTAATACCGTTGTGAGCTGACGTCAGCAACTTTTTGAAAGGGTGAATATATAAATTTTAGATAATGCCCTGTAATCCTTAAATCAGCGTTGAGTCTTACCAAATTTATTCCAAACATTGTTACCTACGGTTTCTGAAATCGACTTATGTTGGCAAAAGTGTTTGTTTCTAACTAGGAATAAAATTAACTACAATAGAAAAAATGTCATAATATTTTTAACGACGCGTTTTACTTTCGACAAATTGACACTAGATTTACCAGAATATTCGTCGTCTGATAACTTGTTTGATCTACAGACCAGAGCGCACTCAGGCCAATGTCGACTCTAAGCGTTCGGAAACGATTTGATGTATAAGCCATGATCCGTGATCTGATCCACATCCTAACCGGTTTCAAACATAATTTCTTACTGTTTCAACTTTCGAATTGTGAGTTTTTCGAAATTTTATTTTGGGGACTTTTCAGTTTACTCCTATTTATTATTCAATTTTTGGATTTTACAATTTCTCAATTTTTCAATTTCTCGGTTTTCAGTGAAAATCTTCGATTTTATAATTTTTAAATATTTTTTGACTTTTATAAACTCTTCATTTGTCGATTTTTCAAATTGATTTTTCAGGTTTTTTGGTTTTTCAATTTTTCTATTTTCAATTTCACTTTTTTGATTTTTCGATTTCTCAATTTTTCAATTTTTTAATTTCTCAGTTTTTGGACATTTCAGTTTTGGGATTTTTCAGTTTACTTGTTATTCAATTTTTCGATCTTACGATTTTGCATGTTTTTGAGTTTTTAATTTTTCGATTCCTTAGATTCGATAGATAAATAGTTTATGGATATTTCAGTTTTGGGATTTTTCAGATTTTCGATTCGTCAGTTTTTCTTTTATTTTTCAGTTTTTTGGTATTTCAATTTTGGGATTTTTCAATATTTCTGTTCTTCAACTTTTCTATTTTTGACTTCTGGATTTTTCGATGTGTCGTTTACTTTTTCGATTTTTAAATTTTAGATTTCTTAATTTTTTGGTATTTTAATTTTTCATTATTTAAAATTTTAGATTTTTCGATTTCTCGATTTTTCATTTCCGCTCTTCCACATTTCAATTTTTCAAATGTTTCGATTTAATCTTAATCTTTCGATTTTTCGACTTCCCGGTTTCAGATTTTTCGTTTTTCAATTGTCGTTTTTTCAAATTTTCGATTTTTCAATTTTTCAAATTTGACTTTTATAAACTGTCAATTTGTGGATTTTTCAATTAATCGATGTTTTGATTTTCCCATTTCTTGACTTTCGAGGGTTTCGATATTCCTGTTCTTCAATTCTTTAATTTTTCGACTTCACTTTTTGGATTTTTCGATTGCTCAATTTTTCGACTTCTTAGGTTCTCAGTTTTTGGATATTTCAGTTTTCGGATTTTTCAATTTTTGTATCATTTTTCAGTTTTTCGAGATTTCAGTTTCGGGATTTTTCGATGTGTCGATTTTTTTACTTTTTCGATTTTTAAATTTTAGATTTTTTAATTTTTAAAATTTTCGTTTTTTCGATTTCTCGATTTTTCATTTCAGTTCTTCGATATTTCAATTTTTCAAGTTTCCGAATTTTTCAAATGTTTTGATTCCTTAATCGTTTGATTTTTCGACTTCCCGGTTTTAGATTTTCTGTTTTTCAATTGTCATTTTGTCAAATTTTCGATTTTTTAATTTTTCAAATTTGACTTTTATCATCTCTCAATTTTTCGATTTTTCAAATGATCGATGTTTTGATTTTCCCATTTCTTAATCTACGACTGTTTCGATTTTCTTGTTCTCCATTTCTTTAATTTTTTTATTTTTCAGGTTTTTGATTTTTCAGTTTTTCGATTTTTTAAAGTTTCTATTTTTCGATTTCACTTTTTTGATTTTTCGATTTTTCAGTTTTTAGATATTTCACTTTTAGGATTTTTCAATATTTCAATTCTTCGGCTTTTCTATTTTTGACTTCAGGATTTTTCGATGTGTCTACCCTTTTACGTTTTCGATTTTTCAATTTTTGGATTTTTAAATTTTAGATTTTTCAATTTTTTGATATTTTAATTTTACAATATTTCTTAATCTTTCGATTTTTCGACTTCTTGGTTTTAGATGCTCTGTTTTTCAATTTTTCGATTTGTTAATTTTTCTTCAGTTTTTTTAATTTCTTGGATTTTTTGGGTTTTGTTGTTCCACTGGATTTTTAATTTTCTCGAACTTTTGGGGCTTGGATTATTAAAGTTTAAGATTATTATTTCTTGGATTATTAAAGTTTTTTGGGAGTGCAAAATTTTTGATTTTTCAGAATTTTTATGTTTAAGAATTTTGGATTTATTAGATTTTTTGGTGTGCTTAAGATTCTTGAGGTTTTAAAATTTTGTTAAAAATTTTTATTTTCTTAGAATGTTTATAATCTTCTTGGATTCCTTGGATTTCTTGGGTTCCTTGGACCTCTTGGGCTCCTTGGTTTTTTTATTTTAAGTTTCTTGTGCCACTGGATTTCTGGATTTTCTTATAGTTCTTGAGCTCTTAGATTTCCGAGATTTCTTAAATTTCTTGGATTATTTGAGTATTTGAGTTTCTTGGTTTTGAGTTTCTTGAGCCTTTAAAATTTTGTTCCAAAATTATGATTTTTAGAGTATTGATAATTTTCAGAAATTTGGATTTCTTGAATTTGTTGGATTCCTCGATTTTCTTGGGTTCTTGGAGTTCTTGGGCTTCTCGGCTTTTTGAATTTTCGGGGTTTCTTCAGTTGCGTTGTCTTTTTGGATTTCCTGGCTTTCTTAGACTTCTTGGGTTCTTGGGCTTCTGAGAATTTTTCGATTTCTTGGGTTATCCGAGTTTCTAACGCTTCTTGAATTTCTCGGGTTTTTTAAGTTACTTGGGAGTTCAAATTTCTTGATTTTCCAGAATGTTTATATGTTCTAAGAAGTTTGAATTTCTTGGATTTCTTGATTTGCTTAAGTTTCTTGGTCTTGAGTTTCTTGAGGTACTAAAATTTGGTTCCAAATTCTTTTTTTTTTAATTTATAGTTTTCAGAATCATGGATTCCTTGAGTTTTTTCAATTCCTTGGATTTTTTGGGTTTCGTTGTTCCACTGGATTTCTCAATTTTCTCGAACTCCTTGGGCTGTTGGGTTTCTGAGATTTCTTGAATTTTTTGACTTTCTTAAATGTCTTGAGTTTCTTGAGAGTTCAAAATTTTTTATTTTTCAGAATGTGTATAATTTCAAGAACTTTGAATTTGTTGGATTTCTTAAGTTTCTTGGCCTTGGGTTTCTTGAGCTTTTAGAATATTCGTAATCTTCGGAATTTTGGACTTTCTAAATTTTTGAATTTTCTTGGGTTATTGGAATTTCTGGAGTTTCTTGAGTTTTTTTTTATTTCCGGGATTTCTTGGTTTCTTGGGCTTCTGAGATTTCTTGGATTTCTAGGATTATCCGGGTTTCTGAGGTTTCTTGAATTTCTCAAGTTTCTTATGTTTCTTGGGAGTGCAATTTTTTTTTATTTTTCAGAATGTTTATATAATTAAGAATTTTGAATTTTTTAGATTTTTTGGTGTGCTTAAGATTCTTGAGGTAATTTACAGATTTCAGTTTTCTGAATTTCCTGTATTCCTAGAATTTCTGAAGTTCACGGTGTTCTTGGTCTTCTTGAGTTTTTGAATTTTCGGAGTTTCTTGAGTTTCGTTGTCTTTTTGGCTTTTTTTGGTTTCTTGGACTTCTTGGGTTCTTGGTCTTCTGAGGCTTCTTGAATTTCTCGAGTTTCTTAAGTTTCTTAGGAGTTAAAAATTTTTTATTTTCCAAAATTGTTATATTTTTTAAGAAGTTTGAATTTCTTGGATTTCTTGCTTTGCTTAAGTTTCTTGAGAGATTAAAGTTTTGTTCCAAATTTTTGTTTTTTTTTTAAGAATATTTATAGTTTCCAGGATCTTGGATTCTTGGATCTCTTGATTTCTTGAGTTTTTTGAATTTCTTGGATTTTTTGGATTTCTTAATTTTCTCGAATTTCTTGGGTTCTCGGGTTTCTGAGATTTCTTGAATTTCTTAAGTTATCTGAGGGTTTCTGAGATTTCTAGAATTTCTTAAGTTATCTGAGTATGTGAGGTTTCTTGAGTTTCTTGGGAGTTAAAAATTTTCGATTTTTCAGAATGTGTATAATTCTAAGAACTTTGAATTTTTTGGATTTCTTAAGTTTCTTGGACTTGGCTTTCGTGGGGTTCTACAGTATTGCTAATCTTCAGAATTTTGGATTCTCTAAATTTTTGAATTTGTCGGATTTGTCGAATTTCTTGGGTTTCTTGAGGTTTTTGATTTCTCAGTTTTCTTGATTTCTTGGGCTTCTGAGATTTCTTGGATTATCCGAATATCTGAGATTTCTTGAATTTCCTAAGTTTCTGAAGTTTCTTGGGAGTGCAAAATTTTTGGCTGCATAGAATTTTGCGACCATTTACTTCCCTGTGTAAGAGTATCTACATTGAAATATTCGTTTTTTTCATTAAGTTGCCAAATTTGTCGTTGCAGGTCTTTCCGAAAAATATAATTTGTAAATAAATCCGTTGGTTTTCGCTTGCCAGATAATGATGTTTTTAAATTTTGGTCCCCTGTTGATAAAATTTTCGCCACAGTTGATGTTCCCACCTATGAGAAAAAAAATTAAAATATTTTTACAGCGTATTTTTACGCTCATAGTTAATCATCAAATCAGTTTATCCAACTTAAAGAAAAAATATCAAAGCCTACTTTACTATATAAAAATCGTGAATGGATAATAAGTTTGTGTTTTATTTAAAACTCAATGTTAAAAGGGAAATATGGATGGTCTTTGTATTCCTTTAGGGGAACGCATCTTTGTTTCTTGTTGCACGAGTCCAAATAAGCCACTTCACTGATATCCAAACTAAAGTCGAAAATGTCGAAATTTTCTTCAATCCGCGACTTCGTTACAGATTTTGGTATCACAACAATCCCCAAAGACACTAAATAGTTAAGCACGACTTGTACAGCCGATTTGTCGTGTTTTTTCCCCATTTGGATGACTTTAGGATCGCGAATTGTGGGCAAAGGTACTCCAGGGCGACCCGTGGAGTCAGTGCCCCCCAAGGGGCTATACCCCACAACTACGATATCGCGCTCCTTACAAAACTTGATTAATTTTTTCGGGTTCATGTTTGGGTTAACCTCCACCTGGTTAACCACTGGTTTAACTTTACAATTGTCCAGCACGCGCTCGACTTGCTCGCTGTTGAAGTTCGACAAACCGATGCCTTTGGTCAACCCCAAGTGAACGCACTCCTCCATGCCCTCCCACGTTTCCAAGTAGTCCACGTCGCTGTACCCTGAAGAGTTAGCAGGCAACGGCTCAGCCGTCTCCTTGAACCCCATCGGCCAGTGAATCAGATACAAATCCACGAAGTCGAGTCTTAGCTTGCTCAGGGATTCTTTCAGCATAGGCACGACTTTGTCTTTCGCGTGGTGGTTGTTCCATAGCTGGAAATTCAGATGAGTTTGACGTTTGAGGTTATGTCCGAGTTTACTTTGCTGGTTACGAAAACGTTAGTTCTTTTTATCGTTCCGTCGGCGATTTTGGCGTGGAGGCCCGCACCCACTTTGGCTTCGTTTCCGTAGAACCAGGCGCAGTCGATGTGGCGGTAGCCGACGGAGATGGCGTCCTTGACGGCCTGTAGGACTTGATCTGGGGGCGACTAAAATTGCGTTGTGGGTTTGTGGATTAGATGGGGCTCACCAGGTAGGTTCCCAAACCCAAGACGGGGATTTGGGTGCCGTTGTTGAGTTGGAGGACGCACGCTTTTTTTTTGGCACAGGTGGAGTAATTGAGGTTTCGTGTAGTACGAAACGATCTAAAATTAATGGGAATTTTGATTGACCTGATAATGAACATTTTTTCCGTTTTTTACTGAATAATTTGTTTCGTTGCTTTGGTTATGTGACAAATTTGGAACTTTTTGAAAATTTTGTTGTGATTGTCACGTCAATTTGTCATGTACCGGGTGTCTGGAAAATGGCGGATTAACTGTTCAGTACGTTATGTACGTAATTATTACGTAATACTCCTATGTAGATTATGAAAAAAACGTAATTTTATGAAAGTAAAATTGGCAACCCTGCACGCACCTAATGGGTGAATACTTCCGGCTTACTTTCTGATTCCTTAGTAACGATGGTGACTGAAATCCACCTTCTATTTTTTTTTTAGGACAATAGCCATAACAACCAGTAGTCATTAATTGGGCGGGGCTAATTATGTTTTCCAATCAAGTGGCAGTGAAAACTAATAGAATCCAGAATGTGAAAAAAGTAAAAAAAAGCACTAATCGAAAATTTTTTGTTATACTATTTGCTACTGTAACTGTAAAAATTGCTATATTTCAATTGGCGATTTTGGAAGAAATGTAAAAATTTTCGAAAATGGTTGAAAACTTGTCGAAAATGGCCAAAGTGCCAAAATCAGCCTTGTATTACGAAATTCTAGCCCCGCCCACCCGCCCCTATTTTCTTGGAAGATATGTGATTAGCCAAAAACATTCTTGTCTTAAGCAAATACAAACCCCGCCCACCCGCCCTCTATTTTATCGGAAAGTATGTTATTTACCAAAATCAGTTTTATCTTAGCAAGTTCTAGCCCGCCCACCCCCACTCTTTTCATTCTAATGATTAATTTTATTTGGGTTTAGTGTAAGATCATTAATTTCATTCAATGCAGATAAAATTAATCACTGAAATGAAGGTAGGGTGGGTGGGCGGGGCTAATTATGTTTTCCAATCAAGTGGTAGTGAAAACTAATAGAATCCAGGATGTGAAAGTAAAAGAAAACCACTAATCGTAAATTTTTTGTTGTATTATTTGCTACTGGAACTGTAAAAATTGCTATATTACAATTGGCGATTTTAGAAGAAATGTAGAAATTTTCGAAAATGGTTGAAAACTTGTCGAAAATGACCAAAGTGCCAAAATCAGCTTAATATTACGAAATAGTAGCCCCGCCCACCAGCCCCTATTTTCTTGGAAGATATGTGATTAGCCAAAAACAGTCTTGTCTTAAGCAAATACAAACCCCGCCCACCCGCCCTCTATTTTCTCGGAAAGTATGTCATTTACCAAACTCAGTTTTATCTTAGCAAGTTCTAGCCCGCCCACCCCCACTCTTCTCGTTCTAACGATTAACTTTATTTATGTTTAGTATAAGATCATTAATTTCATTCAATGTAGATAAAATTAATCACTGAAATGAAGCTAGGGTGGGTGGGCGGGGCTAAATTTTGTTTTCCAATCAAGTAGTGGTGAAAACTAATAGAATCCAGGATGTGAAAAAAGTAAAAAAAACACTAATCCTAAATTTTTTGTTACACTATTTGCTACTGAAACTGTAAAATTGATATATTTCAGTTGGCGATTTTGGAAAAAATGTAGAAATTTTCGAAAATGGTTGAAAACTTGGAAAATGGTCAAAGTGCAAAAATCAGCCTTGTATTATGAAATTCTAGCCCCGCCCACCCACCTCTATTTTCTTGGAAGATATGTGGTTAGCCAAAAACAGTCTTGACTTAGCAAATACAAACCCCGCCCACCCGCCCTCTATTTTTTTGGAAGATATGTTATTTGCCAAAATCAGTCTTATGTGAAACAAATACAAGCCCCGCCCTCTATTTTCTCGAAAAGTATGTCATGTACCAAAATCAGTTTTATCTTAGCAAGTAACCCCGCCCACCCCACTCTTCTCATTCTAACGATTAATGTTATTTCTGTTCAGTATAAGATTATTCATTTCATTCAGGGCGGATAAAATTGATCACTGAAATGAAGGCAGGGTGGGTGGGCGGGGCTAATTATGTTTTCCTGTGGATCGGGAGTGAAAACTAATATAATCTAGGATATGAAAAATTAAAAAAATGCACTAATCTTCGACTTCTGGATGTCGAAATCTACAAGAAAATGTCTAGCTGATTTTCGAAAATGGATGAAAAACGGTCGAAAATATCACAAGTGCCAAAATTAGCTTTATCTTTCAACATACTAACCCCGCCCATCCACCATTTATTTTCGTGGCGGATATGTCATTTGCCAAAATCAGTCTTATTTTAGGAAGTACTAGCCCCGCCCACCCGCCCTCAATTTTTTTGGAAGATATGTTATTTGCCAAAATCAGTCTTATCTGAAGCAAATACAAGCCCCGCCCTTTATTTTTTCGGAAACTATGTCATTTACCAAAATCAGTTTTACCTTAGCAATACTAGCTCCGCCCACCCCCATTTTTCTCATTCTAACGACTAAATTTATTTCTGTTCAGTATAAGATCATTCATTTCATTCAGGGCGGATAAAATTGATCACTGAAATGAGGGAAGGGTGGGTGGGCGGGGCTAATTATGTTTTCCTGTGGAGCGGGAGTGAAAACTAATAAAATCTAGGATATGAAAAATTTTAAAAATGAAATCTTCGACTTCTTTATGTCGAAATCTACAAGAAAATGTCTAGCTAATTTTCGAAAATGGATGAAAAACGGTCGAAAATACCATAAGTGCCAAAATTAGCCTTATCTTACGACATACTAGCCCCGCCCATCCACCATTTCTTTTCTTGGCGGATATGTCATCTGCCAAAATCAGTCTTATTTTAAGAAGAACTAGCCCCGCCCACCCGCCCTCTATTTTTTTGGAAGATATGTTATTTGCTAGAATCACTCTTATGTGAAGCAAATACAGGCCCCGCCCTCTGTTTTCTCGGAAAGTATGTCATGTACCAAAATCTTCTGGATGTCGAAATCTACAAGAAAATGTCTAGCTAATTTTCGAAAATGGATGAAAAACGGTCGAAAATACCATAAGTGCCAAAATTATCCTTATCTCACAACGTACTAGTCCCGCCCATCCACCATTTCTTTTCTTGGCGGATATGTCATTTGCCAAAATTAGTCTTATTTTAGGAAGTACTAGCCCCGCCCACCCGCCCTCTATTTTTTGGAAGATATGTTATTTGCCAAAATCAGTCTTATCTGAAGCAAATACTAGCCCCGCCCACCTCCACTCTTCTCATTCAAACGACTAAATTTATTTCTATTTAGTATAAGATCATTCATTTCATTCAGGGCGGATAAAATTGATCACTGAAATAAAGACAGGGTGGGTGGGCGGGGCTAATTATGTTTTCCTTTGTAGTGGGAGTGAAAACTATTAGAGTCTAGGATGTGAAAAATGTTGTGTTTTAGTTCTGGATTAATTGACCTACTCTATACATTTTTCCTGGTGGTAAATTTGATTTTTAGAAATATCGGCTCACAGCCTTCTTTAAGCCCAACAACTTGTTATTGAAAATTTGGTGACACCACCTCGTCAAAAATTGTAACAATTTTATTATTATGTATTGTTTTTTTTTCTGAATTTGCTAAATCCGATATGATCAAATATTACTAGTGGCCTGCAACCAAATATACACGTTGCCATAGTAATACAAATACAATGTTAAATAGAAGCTGTATATCTGGTTGCCAACTCTTCATTTTAATGATGTTTTAATGGAATCGATTACCTTGTATTTATGGCCTGAAACCAATGTGTTCGAATTGATTTTGCTCAAGACAGATTAAGTGGTACACAGTGGTCCAACATAATTGCCATTAATGCCCCTGCTGTGCTCAAATTGACAAGAAATTAATGGTAAAATGGTCGCTCGAAGCGATCATGGAAAAAATTAATGTGTTGCTTAATTTAATAGTATTTCTAAAGTATGTTTAATTGCCTTTAAAGAGGAACAATTAAGTTGTTTTTGTTTGTATATTGTTATTCTTGTAATAATAAAAAAAAATATGCTATAAATCTGGAAGCTTCTTTTTATAGTGTTTACGTAAAATAAATAATAGTATTAATAAAAGTACAGAATTATGAAATTGACAATTGGATGGTTAAAAATAGAGTTCACCCAAATAGATTAATATCCGTGGAGTAATTAAATGTTAACGTTTACGCTTTCACGGTCGCTAAAATTCAGGGTCTATAAAAATTATTGTCCCATTGAGGTGTGCCGCTTGCGTGTGCAGCGACGCTTGCTACATCGAATCGCTGTCATTGACAGTTCTATTATAGTCCGCATCTCGACGAGGCGGCTCCATTTTATTTCGTGAATAATTCCTCCCTGACAAATTATTTTCTAATATTCTGTATGAATTCGTGCCGGCTCCTCGCGGCGTTCTCTTAACAATTTAGCCCGTTATAGCCGTAGAAAACCATTTAGACCCATAATAATTAGCGTCCCATTTTGCCAACGAGGGTTTTTAGGCCGTCCCTCCCCGGACTACATTACGGGGCGCTGTAAATTAATTAAGGAGTAATTGATTAATTAAGCATCTCCTGTAAACATCCTTTACCGTTATGAACATGATATATTCCGCAGACACCCTCGGCGTTATTACATTTACAGGGTGTCCTCGCCGTCCCGAATAATCGCATTAAAAAATCGAACCGGTCTTTACAATCCCGCCCATCAATTTTAATCCCTGTCCAGACTCCGGCGCGTTATAAATTATTTTTGAATCCGTCGCACCTTGAATAAATACAGGAAATGGAAAAGATATTTGAATAGCCGTCGAATCGAGTCGCCTGTGACAAAATCGATTGGGTCCCCCGGCACACTATTATCAGATAGGCGCCGGGTCAAAGCACCGACTTTATCATAAGCGTCACTGTAAAAAATGATTTTTTCTACTCTAAAACGCATTATTATGCAAAGCAGCGCGGAATGAAAGAACGAGGAAGTCGACCCCTCGTAATTGCGAAAAACTCTTCTACCTGCGTTTGAGAGATCGCGATTACAATGAACCGCACTTTTCCTAAGTGAATCAGATTAACGGGAATTTAGTCGGCCGTGATTGTGACGTCCGCACCGGAACGCCTGCTTGATTGAGTGAATCAGGCTTCGATGTGGGGGTTTCGCCGAATCTCGACGTGCCGCTGCG